TTAGTGTCATATTTTGAGGTCGTATGATTCATGTGACTAACATGTGTAGGTGGTATTACAAGGGTCTAAAATGGAAATGTTTATTTTGTCATTACAGTCTTTTGTCTAAAAAAAAACCCCTTCTAAAATCTTTGAGGAATGAAGGATTTATTTTCTGTCCAAATGATTCAAGATTTATAGTGATGGTTGCTAAAGAAATCATTACTATCACCATTAATTATTATTGCTTAAACAAGGTTGGGCAAAATAGCTCAATATTTCAGTGTCACTATCTAAAAATGTATGTATTTTCTATAATTAAATAATATTAATTCTATAATTTCTAAAACTTAAAACCTTTTTTTCAATCAGGTAAAACCATCATTTTAACTTTTAGGTACATTTAATATATTTAATGTAAAAAAGTAAAATACTATAAAAATGTAGTTAAATAATGAAGAATGATATTTAATCATTTTAATTTAGGCTCTTTATGCACTAATATGACACATATGATAATATGTACATATACATGATGCACTGAAATGGACAGCTTTGATAATGAACTGATGAATCTAACTTTACATATATAATGCTAATTTTGCTATAAAACGAAATAAATTACATAAAATGTATAAAAATTTCATAAATTACATAAAAAAAATTACATAAAAAAAATAAAAATACATAGTCTATATATTATATAAACATTCTGAAAAATAATTTTAACAATTGTCATACCTTAAAATAATTGTCATTGAAGAAATTTAGTGCTCAGAAAATAAAAAAAAAAACAGAAAATACCAATCCATTTGACTAAAATTCTTTGTAATTCATTTGTAGTGATGATTGCAAAGCAAGCATTAATATTACCATTAATTATTGCTCATACTAAGGCTTTGTAAAATAGTTCAATATATATATATATATATATTTAATATCTCAATATTTATGTTTTTGCTATAAAATGACTTAAAAATATTCAGTCAGTTAAACCATAATCAACAACTTGAAGCCAAGTGCATTTAGTATATTTACTGTAAAAAGTAAAAATTTAAAAGTTTAGTTAAAGTTTTTCACTAATAAAAAATTATGATAATTAATGTTTTTTTTTAAAGGTAGGCCTTTTATGGACCAATATAACAAATCTATAATCTAATCACTTTAATATATGAAAAATGACACATGAACAATTTAAATATAACATAAGCAATTCATTGAATTTAGTTCTGAATTGATATTGATTTGAAACGGATGTACTGTAAATTAATCATACATAATGACTAATGCTGTTTTTGCTATAAAAACAAAATTAAATATATAAGTTTAAATTCTAAAGTATTATAAAAAAAATTAAGCAAGGCTTTGCAAAATAGCTCAAAATTTTTCAATCCCAATATTTTTCTGCCTATTTATGATATTCAGTATCTCAATATTTATGTATTTGCATTTTTTTCCCCAATCAGGTAATCTATAATTTCATCTAGTAAAAAAAGTAGAATGCTGTAAAAATTTAGTTTAATACTGTAAAGGTTTTTCACTAAAGAAGAATAATGTTTAATCATTTTAATTTAGGCCCTTTATGCACCAATATGATAATACATAAAATAAACAGCAATATTTAAATAGTTTTTTTTTCTTATATTAAAGTATTTTAGTAAATATAATCTAGGTAAATATTGCTGTTTATTTTATATATTGTCATATTAGTGCATAATGAGCCTAAACAAAAATGAGCAATTATGCAAGCAAGCAATTATTATATTTATTTGAGCATATTCTCACCTTTGAATGGTTAGTCTGTTTCTTCAGGAATTTAAATCTTGGAGGTTTTTAAACCAGAGGCTATGCAATGTTGTGGCATCTTGGAAAAATTGATCTGTACTGTGAGTGACGACACTGTGACCGTTCTAAGATGGCAGACGCGTCGACGTGTGGAATGTGGAATCTACGAATACATATCTATGGTAGCAACAGCACAGCCTTGTGCTAATAACTACTCAGAAGCCTTTAGCAACAGCGTAGCAATGCACTGGAAGTCACTTCAACATATTTTTGTACGGTCAAGCAGCACTCAGATTTACTTAATGTTTTAATGCATTATCACTGAATATATGATCTGGGTTATTAATCTCATTTGCCTCCAGAAGTGGAGCTGTTTTTCTTAATGATGAATTTAGAGATTAGGAACTCAGTCTAAATCAAGGTTATTTGGCAGCGTGATGGTTTATATTATAACATTTCCATCTATCCTCTGCCAGGTTTCATGTCATTTGATTTATTCAAACATCTGCATCTTTGTCAGCCATATGATCCGGATACTGTGGAGAGTAGATAACTGACCATAAATGTGATTGAACTGTCTAAACGTTTAGGTTTTATACGTGTGCTACTACATGAGGAGAAAACCACAGGACAGCACTGAAGCAGCATCTCAAAACCTCAAGCGAGAGTCATATTAAAGAATAATTCGGTTATGCGCCGCATAAACCCATTACTCGTGAAATAACCCTGTGCTGTAAGAAGGCAGGAAAGCCGTTTCACATATCGGATCAGAGGTTTATCATTTGCACCTCGTCTCGTATCAGATAGCCACAGTCTCGTTGGATAAAGTCTGTCAGCAGAAGCCTTTGAATTGTGCTGACTGCACCGCTCTGGTGAAATATCTCACGCTGATGTTGGCTGTCGGTACCTTGAGGTGATTGAATGCACAGAAGAAACCGCAGCTGATCGGCACAGAGCGTTTGGGAGGGCAGAGATCTGACGCTTGAGCACAACAGACGGCTTCCGGAAGTAAAATCTCATTCATTATCTCCACAGAGAAGTCGATTTTTAACAGCAACATTTATAAACCTTTCACGCCTCAAGACAAGCCTACTGTATCAAAATCAGTGTGATTTCAACTTCGTTTTTAAGAATTCCTAGTGAAGAACTACACTACCCATAATGCTGAAAAGACCTTGACCAATCAGAGATGTCGCTGTTGCTATGGAAACAGAAAGCACATTAATAGCACTCAAATGAAAAGGGTTTCCCTACACTCTCAAACCGCTTACATATTTGTACACTTAAGAAAAATGGTTCTAAACAGTACCAGAAAAGGGTTCTTCGGCTTGTAACAATAGCAGAAATGTTCTAACAACAGTTATTAGTATAATACATTAATGAATGACAATGGACATTGAACATAAATAAATGCTTAAAGAAGTAAAACAAAATATAACATAAAATAGTGTATTGAAGACCAAGCTCCAGTGAAACATCTTCACAATCCTCTTTGATGCCTTTAAGTTAATCGCTATCTTTGATGTGATTGAAGGGCAGTTTCTCTCTGCAGATGATGAGGGTGTAGCATCTGAAAAGCACAAAGCATCATATGACCCCTTTAAAAGAAAAAAGTGATATAAAGTCATGGGATAGTTTTATTATTTTTTTGTGACTGGGTGTGAATTATAAATTCATGGTCTCTTTTATTTACTTTGTGGAGAAGAGGAGAGAAGTTTCCACAGCTTAGCAGAGCTGCACACACTTATATGTGACCAAAATCAAAACAAAAAAAAAAGATAAGAACATGTTTGTTTGGAAACCAGTTACAATTTTACATTTTAAAGTTACATTTGTATTTAAATTTAAGAATAAAATCATTTACCTGTTGAGAGTGTGTTGACAGTCTGTAGTTGGATCACTGAACTCCAGAAAATCACTATGAGGTGCTTTGTCAGTTACAGATTTGAAAAACAAAAGGGCGGGAATAAAGAACCCTAAACTCTAACACAAAGAACCATTGCAGCATGAAAGGGTTCTTCAGAATGCTATGGTTCTAAATAAAACCATTACTGCATGTAAAGAACCTTTAAAGAACCATCTTTTTTATATCTGAATATTCTTCTGTAAACTTAAAATGTATTGTTTTTATAGAAGAAAATCAATAAGTGACTATTGATATTTTACTGTTGTTTCTGAATAATTTACATGATTTTTCAGTGAGCTATGGGATGAGTAGTTCATTCAAGTGCTGGGTTGAAACCTGTTTCAATCAATCCGCGTTTTGATGAATTGATATCGATTCCTAAATCCCAAGATCGATCTTTTAGCCTGTGCTGTTTTCTGTTGATGCAAACAAAACTTCAGTAAACATTATTTGTAGCACGCCTCCTATAATTTAAATAAGCGTTTTGCTTTACTTATAAGAAACAAAGTCGCTGCTTTCAATTTCTGTTATTTAATTTAATGACAAGTATGTTTGAATAAATATGACTGAATAAACCATTTTTTATAATATTTTATTTATATTTTATAATTGTATTTTATATTTCAGCAATAAATTGGAGTAGATTTTTTTTTATTTGAAAACTGATAGTAAATTTCACAATTAAAAACTCATTGAATTGAACATAAGATTTTAAAGTAGAAGACTGAATTAGGATTTTCTTTTAAAACCTGTACTCTAATAAACTTTGTTTTATTTACAACTTTGAAAAATCATTTTTACAGTATATATTATTAGAAAGTTGTTATAAAAACTGCAAAAATGTTTACATTTAAAAAAAAAATTTTTTATACATTAAATGTTTGTACACCACATACATTTTATTTGAGTGTTTATTATCATATCTGAATTTAAATAGAAATTGAATTCATTTGAGTTAAATAGCTTGGGCTCCGTTATTAATTTTAACTTTTAATGTTATAGTAATGTATGAAGTGAGAGAGTTTCTTACAGTTACAAATTTTCTATGTAGCAAGAGCAGAAAAAAGCAATGCGGCTCCAGAGCCCACCAGTCAGTTGGAGAGAAACCTGGCTGTATCTGGCACGTGAGAGAAGCCTTTGAGCAATGCACCTTGCCAGAAGCTGACAGGCCGAGGTTGAAATTACAGCTAGTGAACAGAATAAATTCTCAAAAATATTATTTAAGAAAATAATGTATTATTTAAATACATTTTAGTTTTTATTTTATATCAAAAAAATATTTATATTTATTTTATTTAAAAAAAATTCTGGTTTTTTTCCCTCCGGATAGCTGTTCATGGTGGACAACGCTGCAGACGACTGGAGGATAGCCATGACCTACGAGCGCATCTTCTTCATCTGTCTGGAGATCTTGGTGTGCGCCATACACCCCATCCCGGGCAACTACACCTTCACGTGGACGGCGGCATTTAAAGTGTGATTTTAACAGTAAAACAGTTATAAAAATAAATTATTTTTTTTTAAAGAATGTATATATATATATATATATAATTTTATTGCATTATATATTTTTTAAATCATACAATTTTCATGAATTCATGTTTTGGTAATTCACAGTTACTATGTGAGTTTTTTTTAGAAAATGTATACATACATTTTAGAATATATGTTTAAGTGTATATATTATATTATATTATATTATATCACAGTTATAATGAATTCATGTTTTGGTAACTCACAATTACTATGTGAGTTTTTTTAGAAAATATATGTGTATATATATATATATATATATATATATTAGTGCATATATTATATTAAACATTTTAATATTATTTTAAAAATTTTTTTTTCGTAAATTCATTTTGTGGTAATTCACAGTTTACTAGGTGATTTGTTTCAGTAAATAAGATCAACACACGCACACAATTAGATCAATTTTTAATTATATACAATTGTACAGAAGTACATTTTCTAGAAACGGAGCTCTAAGTATCAAAAATGCATCATTTCAGAGAAAACAAAGATACTGTGCCTTTCTCTTAAGCTGTTGAACCCTCTAGAGTATCAAATCTTTCACGTTGCAGACCTGGAGGGCCTCTGTGAGCTTTTAAACAGCAGTTAAATAGGTTTGGAAAGCGAGTCAATTGTGTCCCAACTCAGCTAGATCCCTCAATTAGCCAATTAAGTAATAGCTTACAGCAACAACAGCACGTCCAACTACTGCAGTGGAGCGAGCACTACTTAAATGTATAATGTGAGACAAATTAGCACAATTTTCATGGCTGATTGATTGACTTACAATTAAGCCATAGATGAGTGTAAAGTAATTGTATTTGTTTTTCTAATGTCATTTTACCCTTACTAGATACCATGACAACATGGATGTAACCAGCAATTTCCTTGGAGCCATGTGGTTGATCTCAATAACTTTTCTAACCATTGGATATGGGGATATGGTCCCCAATACATACTGTGGGAAAGGAGTCTGTCTCCTCACCGGCATTATGGTAAGTGCCGTATCTCAGCGTAACATAGAGTTTGTTTTCGATTGAATACTTAAGGCAGTTGTTTGTTTTGTCAGGGAGCCGGATGCACTGCTTTGGTGGTCGCTGTGGTCGCAAAAAAACTGGAATTAACCAAAGCCGAAAAACATGTACATAACTTTATGATGGACACCCAGCTGACAAAAAGGGTAAGTCTGAACTCCTAAATCAAGTGAGTCTTGTGGCGTCGTATGTCACCGTTTGTTTTTAATCCCTGCAAACCTGTGAAAATAATACCCAGCTTATGCAAAGTGGAAAATAATGTGCATCTGTTAAATATAAACAAAATGTGTGAATTTATTAACGGGACACCCTGCTTCCAAAACATTATTTTGAAACCCGAATACACAAAATTCTGTTTTTTGAGAGGAAGATTACATATAATAAAGTTAAAAACAGTTACGACGTTGGCCTGACAGAAATGTGAGAAATAGGCTGGACATGTAAAAAAAATAGGCTAGATATTCTAGCTTTCGTTCTTCAAGCATGGCTTACTTGGTTAGCCAGATAAGCTTTGTCACATAAACGAAGTATATTCTTTTAAGATTAGCCAATTACGTTAACAGAGGCTTAATGCTAATGCTCTGCAACATGCTAACACCAAACTCTATACAGTGCGACAGTGTCTGCTCAATTTTCAGCAGCCTGGTGGTGCTTATGGAACAGCAGCGATACAGTGTTTCCAAAGCAGCACTGCGCTTATGAACACTACTTTAATATGCATTAAACAGAGGCATGATGAAAAGAAAATACCATCTAAACTTTTCTAAAGACAATCAGTTTCCCTCAGAGATGCATTCATATAAACCCCCACCCCCAATTGTATCGCGATTCGTTTAACATCTCAACCGACTTGAATCGTCACATATTTTAGCAATAATTAGCAAGCTACCGTATTGGCCCGAATATAAGACGACCCTGATTATAAGACGACCCCCCTTTTTCCAGATGTACCTTTTCAGTACATATCCCAAGGTTTCGCTATTCTAAGGCCATGTCCACACGTCCACGGGTATTTTTATAAACGTTTTTTATAAATATGAAGAGTTTTTCCTTCTTCCGGTTTAAAAAAAAAATCTCCGTTCACATGAAAATGCAAACGCATGCTGTGAAGCACTGTCATGAGCATGCCAAGCCAACAGGTGGCGATATAATCTCAACCGTAAAGCCATGTTGGCCAATCAGAAGCCTGAAAAAGTTTCCAGTAGGCGGAGATAACAGTGCGGGCTCCGACGTCACAAGCCAAAATCTCCGGTTTCGCTGTCTACACGATAACACTGCAAGAACCGGAGTTTTTGAAAATCTTCACCCTGGCAGGCGTTTTCAAAAATGTTCGGTTTCAGTGAACTGGTGCTGCGTTTGCGTGTGGACGAACGGCCAAACCGCATAGAAAAAGCTGCGGTTTTAAAAATAACCGCGTTCGTGTGGACAGGGCCTAAAACTTATTATGCAAACCAAGTAAGCCACGTTAAATCATTGGGGCTCAGGACGCTTCAGCAGACCTAAGCACTGAATGCTACAATGCTAACTCTCCCACAGGTGAAAAACACAGCTGCTAATGTTCTCAGGGAGACGTGGCTCATTTATAAAAACACCAAGCTGGTGAGGAAGATGGACCACGCCAAAGTCAGGAAACATCAACGCAAGTTTCTTCAAGCCATCCACCAGTAAGTCAGACCTCTGGAGACCTGTCAGGACTTCTCGCACCCTTTATGTGTGTGTCTGTGTTTCAGAATGCTTTGAGCTCTGAATTGTTTGACACCTGTAGCCCAGGGTAGAAGCCGCTGATGATGGATTCATTTTTGTTGTGTTTGAACGGGTAAATCCATTTGTACCACATTTGTTTTGGTGATCTGAGATATTTAGTATCGCTCATTGTATTGACGCTCTGTTCTTCCATTTATAGAGTTAATTCAGCCCTCAGTAAGGCACTATTGAGGACACTTGCTTTTTCCCCATCACTCTCACTCTTGGTATTTATGGGCCATCTAAAAGAGGACGTAAGTGCCCTGTAAATGTCACTCTCTTCCAGTGACTGATTATTTGGGAAACCCAAAAGGCAAAATGGTTATAAACCCACCTAATTTCAGCTGAAACCCTCTGGGTTTGTAGTTTCTTAACCATGTTTTATTTTCAGCTACTCTCAGAGATACTGGCTCGAAATTGAGGCTATTTGTTGTTGGGTTATAAAGCTCTTTATCATGAAACTTTACCACAGACAAAACACACTTTTCTCAGCAATACAATGTAAAACATTACAGGAAACATTTCAAACCTTGTATTATAAGCCTCCACTAAATGGTTGAGATGCCCATTAATGGAAAGAAAAAAAAATCATTCTGAACTCTAACTGAATTCTATCATTCACATAGAAATTTAAAGTTTTTTTTACACCTAACGGATTTTATCTACTGCTATTTTTGTCTTTTAATGAGAATAAGTTGTGTGTTAATATTAAGAAATATTATTATTTCACAAAATATTATTATAAATATTATTTCTATTTGGATATATTTTAAAATGTGGTTTATTCTGTGATCAAAGCTGAATGTTCAGCATCATTACTCCAGTCTTCAGTGTCACATGATCCTTCAGAATTCATTCTAATATGCTGATTTGCTGATCAAGAAACATTTGGTATTATCAATGCTTACTATTTCGTGAAAACGGTGATACATTTTCAGGATTCCTTTATGAATAAAACATTCAAAAGAGCAGCATTTATTTGGGATAGAAATCTTTTGTAACATTGTAAGTGTCTTTACTGTCACTTTTGATCAATTTAATGCATCCTTGCCGAATAAATGTATCCATTCACTTTATCAGGTTATCATCTGTTATTGTATTAAATTTAGTGAAAAATACCCTTACTTTAAAGTTACTTTTTAAAACCACCTGTGATTTAATAACACTGTTCTATGTAATCTTCAAGAAATCTCAAAATGAATATCTAATGTTCATATTGTACATTATAATAAAGATACTAGTTTTAAGTATTTTGTTTGATTTATTTAGACAAAATACTTTGTAATTTTTAATATCAGCATGTATCAGCTATCGACCATGAAAATAATTATAATTATTATTACCTTGGCTGTATTAGACAGAATTTCAATATCCTGTCAATACCATATCATCATAATAATTGTAATTGTAAAAAACTGGTTGAAAAGCTTTAAAGGGATGATTCACTCAACTTGGAACAACATGAGGGTGAGTAAATGATGACAGAATTTTCTTTTTTGGGTGTCTATCCGTTTAATTGTTGAGTTAAGTACAAAACTGTTTTCAAAAGCATATCATAATTCAAAAAGCGCTCTACCAAAAGCCTGGAAAAAGGTTAAAATAATCTTCAACAAGACCTAAGGAAATACTGTAATTAAACTGAACTGAATTCAGGTAGTGTGTATATCTCAAAGCAACAGTATGAAAGCAGTGAAACGGCTTTGAAGTCCATGGCTAACGCTGTAATTGTGGACCGTGTAAGCTAATATTGAATAAGGAGCATCTCTGAAGCAACTGGAAACCATGACGGATGCGGAGAGCACATCCTATTGTCCTTTACTCCTGCTTCACTATTCATGAAGGTGTCAGGGGACGAGTTTCACCGCCTTTCATTTTAGGCTTCTGTCAGACTCTCTCTTCCTTTCTCTCTTCATTTAAAGATTATTCATCACTCTGTCCCACTTTTCATCTGCTCTGTGACATTAGCGTGTCCAGTTTAATGCTAGCTATAAAGCAATCATTAAATCTTTTTTCAGCCATAACATTTATTTATCCTGTTAAGCTTTGAAATGTATGGTCGTGATTTTGAGCTGAAGGAGACACATTTCATGCAATTAGATGAGAGTATTGAATGCCTTCTGTTTATTTTGTCTCGCACTGCTCTTTTATAATTAGCTAAATCAACCATGCTCATAAAAACAAATATTCATTATTGAAAGATGTTCTTTCAGAATAATTAGCTAAATCGAAACACTGATAAAAATCTGCACAAGAATTTGCAGAAAACATTTATCGCATTTGAATTCCCTTCATTTTGTTCTGCATCTATGTTTCATCGTTGGTGTTTGCCAGACAACCCACTAAGCAACCACCTTAATGTTGTAGCAGCAATGCAGAACACCCTAGCAACCTCCCAGAATTTCTTGCAACCACCAAGTAGAACCACCCACCAGTCACCTAGAATGTCTTAGCAACCACCAGAATACCCTAGCAACCAGCCCGAACCCACAGGAACCACCTAGCAATCACACCAAATACCCTAGCAGCCACTCAGAATGTCCTACCAGCCACCTAGCAACATCATCCTAACTACCCAGAATGTCATAGCAGTCACTTTACAATCTCTTAACTCCCCGGATTGGACTTCGCAATGTCCTAACAACCCCTTATAATCTCTAGCAACCACAGAACAAACCCAGCAAACACCTAGAATGTCCTAGCAACCCCCAGAATGCCTCTGCAACCCCATAGCAACTACCATTTAGACCATGACAACCACACAGAACAGCCCACCAACCAATTAGAAACCACCCAGATCCACTAGCAACAACCATGTACACCCTAGCAACTGCACAGTATCACCTAGAAACCACCCATAACCACTAGCAACCACCATGTACACCCTAGCAACTGCACAGTACCACCTAGCAACCACTCAGAACCACCTAGCAACCCCTAGAACTCCAAGCAACCACCGGATAGACCCTAGAGACCACACAGACACCACACATTTAGACCTTCACAACCACAAAGAACAACCCACTAACCACCTAGAAACCACTAGCATCCACCATGTACACCTTAGAAACCACACAACACCATCCAGCAACCACCAGACGGACACTAGAAACCACAGAGAACCACCCAGTAATGACCTAGAATGTCCTAACAACCCCCACAATGCCGTAGCAACTATCATTTAGACCCTAGCAACCACTCAGAACCACAAGCAACCACCATGTAGACCCTAGCAACCATGCATCACCACTCAGCAACCACTCAGAATCACCTAACAACCCCTAGAACTCCTAGCAACCACCAGATAAATCCTAGCAACCTCACAGAACCACCCAGTAATGACCTAGAATGTCCTAAACACCCCCAGAATGCCCAAGCAACCTCCATTTAGATCCTAGCAACCACCAGGTAGACCCTAGAAACCACACAGAACCACCCGACAATCACCCTGCAATCACACTGAAACCTCTAGCAACCACTCAGAACATCCTTGCATCACGGTAGTGAAAACTTTTCTTCAGGAGAACTAAAAATCTGTTTTTCCTCACCACTCAATCACCTTGATTCATTATGTAAAGTTGATAATGATCGAGACAATGTATTCAAACTTCTGAGTCGTCTGCTCTGTTTCACTTTTGCCACAAAATGGAATCAGATGCCGTCGGGCTGCAGTTTGCGAGATACAACACCGCTAATAATGCTGAGGGTAAAATCACACAATGTCCTGGCTCTTTTTATAGACACATAGCTGAAAGAAAACAGTCTTGAGATTGCTTGCAGCAGCAGTGTTGGGAATACAGGCGAGTGGGCTAATGTTCAGTCAGGACGCATAAACCACAGGCTACTGCTCACACACATGACACCGCAGATTAATGGTCAAATCGCTCCCGGCTCTCTGTAAAACCATTAGTGTGTGTTCTTGTGTTTTTATGGTTGTATATGTGTTCACATGCCTTCATTAAGACTATATGTGAGCGTCAATACGGCCAATACAAGTCAGGTGTGTGCGCCCGTCTTAACAGGCCTGTGGTTTTCTGTATTCTACTTTGATTCACTCCCCCTGATTCTGTTCAATTTCCTTTATGTTTAAAGAGCGCCTGGCCCCGTTCCAAACCCATAAAGACAGGAAACCGCCGTCACAGGCCAAATCTGAAACTTCCCAGTTGGCTCAGTCTTCACTAATGGCTCTGGTGTGTGTCCTTTAACACTGAATGCATGCGGTTTTGCATAATGAGGATGGCTAGGATCGATTTCCACTGATCGAGGCTGTTCTTATCATGCATTAGTTCTAGAATAGCGAATCGCCTGAAATTATCTACAGGCCATCTTCAGGCCAAGGTACGTTTTAGATGTCCTACGCATGCCGAGGCCACACAGGAAATAAGGAACACGTCTTGTTTTTGGAGGTCTGTTTGTCCTCTGCTGTGGAGGCAGGTGCCGGGCTGCGATAAGCAAATTCACTGTTGACAGGGCGATGATGATGATTGCACGTCACAACGAAGGTTGCGAACGGTGGCTTTGGGGACAGGCAGGGAATGTCTGTGGAACATGAAGAACGGGAGGAGAGGGGTGGGCGGTTGCGTGGGAGGTGACAGCTGTAACTCTAGTCTGTGTGCAGTGTCCCATGCACCACCTGCTGTGCCACCAACCCCTACTTTAATCATCAGCGGGGTCCGTAGGACCAGCACTCTTGGGCCAGAGTGTCGTTAGCTAAACGAGCGGCGCAAGACTGACACACAGCGCATCTGGCACATTATTAAAGGTCAGAAAGAGACACAATCTGATGCACTCCATAATAAGTTGCTTTTTCTAGCGTCTCTTTATGGTTTTAGGATAAAAGTTGAGTATCTAAAGAGTGCAAACATTGCGGATTTGTGGTGCTCTCAAAACAGTTGGTTTTATGAACTGGTCCAGTATGTTATCT